GAGATTTTGCACTTTAATGGAAGATATTTTTGTGTTTTTCTTACAGATACAGGTAAAATCTCTTTGGTAGATCGTACTGGATTGGGTCCCTTGTTGTCTTTCAACCTCATCATCAACATATGTTTCCCGAAGAAAGAAAAAATAATTTCATGAAAAACCTGTGCTTGTTAGTAGCTGAATCACTCTCTCCTCTCATAGTGAGAATCTTTGTCTTTTCCCCCGCTGGCATGAGGTGATGAAATTCCACTAGCTCTTCTTCTTGTGAGAATAAAATCAAGAGAGTGGTGCGCTTTCCCTTTGAATGAGTAGATCAGACCGCCCCCGTGCTTGACTCAATGCTCCTGAAGTCCGAAAAAAAAAGGGGGGACTTTACCTGGGCAATGATTGGCTACTGTTGAAAAGTGCTTAAAGGAGTGAAAAAGAATCAAATTTGGAGCAAAAAGGTGAAAAATTTGCAAAAGAGTTTTGGCGCCTAAGCACCAGATCCGGTGCTTAAGCGTCACTTAAACAGAGAAGGTCGCGCCTAAGCGCCAGAAGGCCCCGCGCTCAAGTGCCAGTGGCAATTATTGGACAATTAAATTCAGTTTCTAGGAATTTTGAAGAGGTTTTTGAGGCACCCATTGGCTTAATAGGTGGTTATAACCACCATGGACGAAAATTATCATGAAAGGATGCATCTCTTGGGCTCTTTTAGGGAAATGCATTGAATCTAGACATATTTTGAAGAGAAACCAAAGCACCTTTTGGAAAATTTTGGAAGAAAGAAGAGAGGACTTAGAAAAGAGTCCTGAAAATGTTGGAAAGTTTCGAAAGTTTTCATTTGGGGAGTTAGTTCGGAGATATTTTCAGGCACCAATTTTACTTTTATTTTATCTTTTTTGTTATTTTATTTTGAGTTATTTTAAAGAGAAGAGAATCAAAAGAACTTATCAAAAGAACTTCAAGAGTTTAGATAAGTTTTTATCTTTCTGTTTTGAGACTACTTTTGGTTTTAATTGAGACTTGTTGTTGGTTTTTGAGACTTCTTGTTGGTTTGATGATGATTTTTGCTTTTAAACTGAAGTGAGGTTTTGTTTTTTCCATGAATTTTGAGAATAGTTTTCTTTATCTTTCTTCTTATAATGATAAGTAATTAAGTATTGGATGGAAGTTTTTGGACAGAAGTTGTGGAAAGTATTAATCTTCAATGATAGAAGAAGCTGTGATGATTTAAATACAAGCACTTCATTTACTTCTTGATTTGGTCAATCCAGACGTTAAAATTTGTTGTGAGAACATGTCAGAATCGGGCTGGTACTATCTCAATCAACAATTGGAAAGAAACACATGAGATTGTATGAATGAGAATGTAGTTCATACGATTGAGTGCAAATAAATAAAGAAATATTCATTGAAGGGTGTAGAGTTAGAGGACTTTAAGTGACAGGTTAAAGCCCCCAAATTGGTTTATTATTTTAGGTTCTGATACGAGATGTTAGCCCCA